CCTCCCCGCCGCCCCTCGGCTAGCTGCTGTCGGCAAGGCGGTGCTGCAGCAGCACCAGAGCCTCTACGACTACCTCGACCAGGTCCTAGAGGAGCAAACCACGATTTAGGGTTTAGGGTTTAGGGTTTAGAGCCTGCGAGATGGGGCCTACAAGCGCGTCCAAAGTGCGGAGTCCCCGCGGGCGCCTTCTGGGACTGCTGCTGCTGCTGCAGCTGCTGCTGCTGCTGCTCTCAGCTGGAGCAGCAGAGACTGCAGCGCAGCAGCCAATGCAACAACAAAAAGAGCAGCCGCAAAGGCGGCAGCAGCAGCAGCAACAGCAACGGCAGCAGCAGCAACAGCAGCAGCAGAAATCAGCGAGCAGCAACAAAAATAAAACAGCGAGACCTCTGCAAATCGTGATGCCCAATGAACTACACACCGGTAATCTCCAAATTAGGGTTTAGGGTTTAGGGTTTAGGGTTTAGGGTTTAGCGTTGACAGAAGACAGGCTCTAACATGTGACCCTAGAGTTGACAAGTCAAGCATCGAGGGCTTAGAGTTAGGGGTTTAGGGCTTAGGGTTAGGGGCTACGGGGCTAGGGCTTAGGGTTTAGGGTTTAGGGTTTAGGGTTTAGGGTTTGCGCTTAGGGTTTGTGATCAACGAGGAGGCTCTGGCGGAGCTGGAGGAAATCCCAGGACCTATTGCTGTGATTGCCGCTATGGGTAAAGCCCGAGGGTTCAGGGTTTATTGTTTAGGGCTTAGGGTTTAGGGTTTAGGGTTTAGGGTTTAGGGTTGGGGTTTATAGCTGCCGGCAGAGGGCCTCTGCGAGTTCGGAGTTTGTGGCTGCTGCAGTTTACCTGCTTCTTGAAAGTGTTGAGGGTTTAGGGTTTAGGGTTTAGGGTTTAGGGCTGGCGCTTTGCAGGTCCGATTCACTCTGGAAAGAGTTTTTTGCTGAACAGTTTGTTGAAGACAAACCCAGCAGCAGCAGAGGGCAGCAGCAGCAGCAGCAGCAGCGAGGGTTTAGGGTTTCCCGTGGGCTACACTGTGGCCCCCGGCTCTCTGGGCCTTTCCATTTATTCCAAACCCTTATTTGTAGACAGGCGCACAGGAGCGCTGCTGTCGGAGTCTGCTGCTGCTGCTGCTGAAGCAGCAGCAGCAGCAGCAGCAGCAGCAGCAGCAGCAGCAGCAGC